ATGCCCTCAAATTGTGACAAATAACTAATAATTTCTTCTTTATTTTCATTGAATTCCCTAAATTTAGGTTTGTATGTACTATTGGTTTCTCTATTGCTTGTTGATGGTGTATGCTGTCCTGATTCTATTCTAGCTCTTTCTAGTTTTATTTCTTCCTCTCTTAATTTCATATCCTGTTCTCTTAATTTAAGTTCTTCTATTTCCTTTTGTCCTTTTAATTTTAGTTCTTCTATTTGTTTAAGGTCGCTTCTCTCTAACATTCTAGCTTCTCGGTCTTTGTCTTTGTCTTGTCGGTCTTTGTCTTCTTTCTGTTTGTCCCTAATTTTGTCCATCTCACGAGTTACGAAGTCAGCTAATTTCTCCTGCTTTAAGCCAAGCTTCTCTGCTACTTCTAATAATTCTAAGTACTCTGCCATATTGAATTATGTGTTTGAGTAACTAAAGTAATATATTGGTATGTATAAGTATGTTAGTTATTTCTTGATGAGTTATCAATTAAAATAGTTCACAATATTTCATATATTTACATGTTAATGAATGTATACATAAATGCAAGTTGATACATGAATTATAAGTTATAAATAAGTGTAAGAAAAATTTAAAATGATTAAATTGTCTACTTCACAACATAAATACAGATATGTAGACGTTTACATGAATACAAATGAGACAACAAATACAAAAGTACTGTTTAGTTTATGGACCACAAGATAGTAGAAATATGACAGTAGGTTGACAATATGTATAACAATGACAAGACAAATAGCACAAATATGACAAGATCTACTAAAAAACAACAGTTATGACAATGTACAAACTAGACTTCACAGCTAACACAGAATTATCCTACAGTGTTATAAATAGGGCCAGAAGAAACCTTTACCGTTTTAATAAAAAAACTTCCCTAGGAAAGATAACACCGTGGATATTCCTAAAGTATACTCTAAAATTAAACTTATAATATACAGAAAAAGTAAAAAATTTACTTAATCTAATTAAGTATGATATAAGTAGATTTTTAAAGTCTTAAATTATATATAATACATAACACATAATATTAATATACATAAATACCAAGTGAAAGTGTCCAAAAGAAATCTGTAGTTGGTCACCTCTGCTCCTCTGTGACGCTATGATCTCTGTGTAGTCGATAATCCTTCTATGTAGAAAGTGTACTTGGGTAAATACTCCAATGCAAAAGTTATATAATCCAATGAAAAAGTTACAACACAAACTGCTTCAGTAATCCAATGCAAGTACCTTGCGTAATAGAAGTAATAGTGTAATAATCCAATTGAAAATAGTGTACTTTCTCTCCGATTCAGTTGAACTTGTGAGTAATTAAAGAATTACTTTACTTGAAATGCGCACTAGGCTTTGTGCGGCTTGTATAAAGTGAAGATTATGCTGGGGAAATCTTACTTTCGATGTCTTGATACACACATCTCATCTGTAATAACGTCAGACTTCTACTTCTGTTGGTCTTGTAATATGTAGGCTTACAGTAAATCTTTGCTACAGTTGTAAATAACTTGAAAATTTTCCTTATGCTGCTAGTTGCCGTGTACCAGTTGGCTTTGAACTCTGAACTCTTGAGACTGTGACTGACCTCAATTGTCGGCTAGCTCTGTGTGTAGTGAACTCGTCTCGGACTTGATTGATACACGGTCGTAATGGCGTTCGCTGTATTCTTCCGCTCGAATTTTAAAATATATCGTTGTTACTCAATGTTCTGTAACACATTTCTGACACTTCTTTACAATATTTGTAACGCATCGTCGTTACACCGCTTCTGACACCATTTGTAACACATCTACTCTGACATGGCGTGGGAGCTTATTTCTTATGCTGTGGGTTATGTCAGTAGTATGGTTACTTATGTTATGTTGATATTTCAGGATGCCGACTAAGGCTTCTTCATTCTTCCACTTATTATCCGGGCACGCAAATAAGAATACTGAATCCTGGTTAAACTTACAGTACTTTATTGAACACACTTTATACTGATAATATTAATAAATAATCCTTGCATGAATGTAATTTCACATATATATCTATAGTATTCCATCATTAAGAAAGACACGTCCTCACACTACTGTCAACTCAGCTCAACTGTCCTATCACACAGCTCTCACGCTACTGTTCTCTACTGCTCTGCGCTCAGCTCTCCTTGTCTCAGTCAACTCATACTTTATTACCAGCAAAGCGTGGAAAACAACCGCTCTGACAAAAACATAATTTTACTCTCCAAAAAACGTGGAGCTCACATTGTCCTCTCAAAATACATGGTCAACACAATTCACTGTTCACTCATGCTACCTCTCTGTTTTCATGTGAAAACATAGTCCGTTACAGTAATTATTTTGTTTGTTGTCTTGAACATGACAAAAATTAAAGCATTTTTATTGTTTAAAATTATTATATCATGCCACATGCCGTGCACAAATCTAAACGTCCAAGTGGCTGTTAGCAGTTTAAATAAAAAAAAAAACTGAACAGACGGCTGATAATGTTGATTCAAACCACGATTCTGTAAGTGTAATGGTTAATGACAAAAACTGGCTCGTTTATCAGATGCTTCTCTTTGGAATGTACCAGTTCCAGATTATTTTCGGTCTAAAATTATTAAAATTAGGAATACCTCAAGTCAGAACAAGGACGGACTATTCAGCGTAGTGACAAGGCAAAATGCGAAATCTAAAGTAGGCGTTCGGCAACTACGGGATGATGCAAATTGGCGAGAAAATACTGCGGTCGAGCATGGTTTATTCACTCGTCAGTCATAAATTGTATTGTTTTTGCTGCAGATCGTTTGCTGTTAATGTTACAGAAAGAACATCCAAATTGGTTACTGGCTTTGATAAGTGGTGGAAACTGAGCCCAAAATTACAAAATTATCAGGCATCGGAAAAACACCTATGTTGCCTTAAAAAATGGAAAGCATTGGCAGCAGGACTTAGGATACAAAAAAAAAATTGATGCCGAACTTATTGCAGTGATGAACAGGGAGAAGAAAAAGTTGTGGGATATCTTGCACAGGTTGATGGATATCACAATGTTTCTTGCAAAGAAAAATCTAGCATTTCATGGCCACAACGAAGATGAATCTTCACTGAAACTTTCTTGAAATGGTTGAGATACTATCTAAATATGACCCAGTGCTAAGAGGGCACCAAATAAGACTAAAGAGGAGTACATCTAGAGAAAAATCATCCACATCTTACCTTTCACCAGAAACCCAAAATGATTTTATAAATGTCCTTGCAGATCATGTGGAGGAGATTCTTCTCATGGATATAAAGGCTGCAAGTATTTTGGAATTATGTTCGAAAGTACACCTGATATATCACACAGTGACCAGATGTCTGAAGTGATCAGATATGTGAAAATCCACAATGGGAAAGTTGAAGTGAGAGAAGTTTCTCTTGCATTTTTCCCGTTAAGAGGGAAAAAACTGATGACCTCAGTTCTGAAATTCTACAGAAATGCATCATCTCATCGATGGAATGTTCTAATTGAACACACTGGAATATCGTGGAAAATACTGTCAACAACGCGTTGGAGTGCTCATCATGATGCTTTTAAAACAGTGAAATATGAGTTTGATGAATGTGTGGCGGTGGTTGAAGCTCTGTGTAACTATCTTGAAAATTTGGATACAAGAGGTACAGCACAAGGTCGTTTACATGCTGTCTGTGATGTAACGTTTATCTGCTACATTTAGCTTTGGGCTGATCTACTTGAGGAAGTTAATCTTACACAGCATTATCTGCAGACTTATGGCTTTACTTTTGACAAAGTGGTGACAAACATAGAGATCTTAAGATTGTTTCTGTACGAGAAGTGCCGTCACTTTGTGGAACATGTTATTGAAAAGGCACTTTTAAAATCAGACCAATATGGAATTTCAGTTGAGAGAAGATTATGGTTTAAGAATAGAATGGCAGGAGAACAATTAATAAATGCTGGACTCTTTCTGCGAGAAGAAAACAGTAGGGAGATGCTGGAGTGTATTGATCGCTTTCATTCTAAACCCCCAGATCCGATCATCAGTGATCAAAGAACTAGCAGAAAGGTTTGGGGCTGTTCAACCCAAGAGTCTAGTATCAGCAAGTGAAGAAGATTTATTGGTGTCCGTTCCAAAAATTAACTTCTTTACATGTTGAGTTATCAGAAGATGATCTTTTAAAAGAAATACCAAGGCTTAGAAGACATCTAAAGACAGCTGATATTGAATTTCACGAATTTCATGGACTGGTCAGTATTTTATGTTTTGAAATTCATAGCTGAATGGGAATTCCTAGAATCTCTTCCAATACCCTGGCTAAGACTTTAATTCTTTTCTTACCATATGTGGGTTCATGTGAGCGGAGCTTTTCAAAACAAAGGCTGATCCCACCATGGGACAGTCTCGGCTTACTGATGTGGCTCTGCTATCAATTGAAAGTGATACAGTGAAGGACACGATTATGATCAAGGGATTGACAGGTTTGCAGCTTTGAAGACAAAGAAAAGGAAAATTTTAAATAAAGTAAATTTAATGTAAATTAACCATAACTTAATGTTGTTACAGTTTTTAAATACATTAACCTCATGACGTTCGATTTATTTGTTTTTGTTCTTGTCATTGTTATACTGTTGACTTATTTTAACAAGAAGAAATACATCATGGAAGTTTTTTTTTTGTTTTTTTTTGGGGGGGGGGGTGGGGGTGGGGATGGGTGACACTCTGAGTTTACCGCACCAGGTGACACCAACCCTAGCTACGCCACTGTATATATGTATAATGGTATTTAAACTTGATAAGGGAAATTCGTACATAACATAAGATTGAAGTCAGTGCTACATTTAATGGCCATAGATAATTTACTACATAATAATGAATAGTGTTAATCAAAATAACCTTTAGGCATACATTAGAGAGTAAGATATTTGAAACGTTAATACTTATTAGAGGGATAATTCAATTAATATTTTTATTATTATAAAATACTTAGAAGTTATTGACCACCTTTTCTGTTGTAAATGTTGTATCTGTTCACTACATGATGTCCAGAGAGCCTCACAGTCCAAGAAGGTTTTTGACCCTGGCTGTCGGTGCGTGTGCAACTTTTCTGGCGAAAGGAACCATCGGTGTTGCCATCTACAGCGTTTTCTGATCTCGAATAATCATAAGAGTTTCCATGTAAGGAAGTACTGGTCTGACTGGTATTTTGTTTTAGAGCGATGTTTCGACCTGTTTAACAAAACATGAATGGGCATCAATGGAACTTGTAATTATTGAATAAAGCATTGAAGATTTAACTATCTCAAATTTCGTGTATTGCCACAGATAGCTTCACATCTACGACACAATTATATGTATAAATATTTATATAGATATAACACCAAGTTTTCAAACCCACAAAAAAACAACAACAACAAAACAACAACCTAGAGCAATACACACAATTTTCTTTCCCGTTTTTTAAACAGTCCAATTGAAATGCATTGTTGCAATCTCGTAAATATTATATTTTAAAATGAACAGCTGAACTAAATTTATCTTAAAACTAAACCCTTAAAAAAATAAAATTTAAGCACTCAAACACAATTTCATCGTAATACAAATATTTTATTTTAAATTCAGTTTTCGGATTCAACCGCGCAACTGCTCAGGAGTACGATAGATTTCTTTATGTAAAAATCATAGTACAAGTGCCATTTTTAATTTGACTAAACATGGATTTGTCACGAAAAATCATGCTGGACTCAAGTTTCAACAAAGCAAACTCACTTTAACTCATGATCTGCACAAGTGACGCTTGAGTCACTACAGTGTATTTATTTTATTTTCATTGCCATTTGTTTAGTTTTTTTTCAATGTACATGTATTGAAAAAAAAGGCCTAAAGGTTTTAGTATCTGTCTTTGTGTGTCACTTAAAGAGGAACTACAAAAAAAGCTGTGGTCAAGATAAGATAACCGTTTGAAAGGGATCCTCTTTTGTTTTCAATTTAATTTATAGTTTACAATAGAGATGATGAAAGTTGTTATCAACTGCTTCTAGTTAGATTTGGTATTTTCCGCCTATTCTCTCTGCTACTTGTTAATTTATGTTTTACTACAGATTTATGGCATTAAAAGCTCTCATCTTGCCAAGGGCTTAAAATTATTAAATAGGCGAAATTGTATATCAATCATCTGGAAATAATATCAACAGGCCGCTACTCAGTGGCGTAGCTAGAGTTGGTGTCAACCGGTGAGGTAACTCATGGTGTCATCCCCCCAACCCCCGTCTCCGACTTTCATGATAGATTTATTTTTATTAAAATAAGTCCACAGTATAACTAGGACAAGAAAAAAACAATAAATAAATGAAAGGTAAATATATTTAAGAACTGTAACAACGTTAAGTTATAGTTATTTCTACATAAATGTACTCTAATATGTTCCTTTCCTGGACTTCAAAGCTGCAACCTGTCAATAACTTGATTAAAATCAATATCATTCCTCGTATCAATTTTCAATTGATAGTAGAAGTAGAGGCAGATCAGAAAGCCTCGACTGTCCCATGGTGGATCGTAAATAGTTCTTGATAAGCCTTAGTTTTGAAAAGCTCCGATCACGTGAAGCCACCGAAACACAGATCGAAAGAAAAAATTGAAGACTCAGCGAGAGTATGGGAAGAGATTCTAGGAGGTCCATTCAGCTATGAATTTCAAAACATGAAATACTGACCAGTCCATGACTTTGTGATATTCATTATTATCTGCCATTAGGTGTCTTCTAAGCCTTGATATTTCGTTTAAAAGTTCAACCTTGCACTTTTAATAAAGCACGCATTTGGATTGGTTACATTTGTGAAAATATGTACATATGATCGGTTATCTTTTATGAATCTCGCTCCGACCGAGTGGTGTGTGCCCTGTAACTATGAAATTGTTCAATTGGGTGTCAACCTTAAAATGGTCTCACCCGGTGCAGTCCGCACTCCCTAGCTACGCCACTGTCTCTACTCACTCCTCAATTCTGATGTTTTAATATATTATAATATATTTCGTCTGTCATTGACGGTACAACATTTTCATTTCATTGCTACCATTTACACCAAGTCTTACCATATTCAACTTAAGCTTTTTGATAAGACTGAGACCCGTTCGCTCCCAGACACTCTTGTGGAGAATACCGAATGCGATATTTGCTTTGGAAAATTCTTTTGTTGATCTCATCATCAAACGTTACTGACAGTGAGAGGGTGCAATCATAACAATGTACCGTACAAAGTTACCCATTCGCTGCAATGTCCAACCTTTCACCGCAATGTCCAACAATTCACTGCAATGTCTAAATATTCAATGCAATATCCAATCATTCACGGCAATTTCCAACCATTCAATGCAACTTCAAAACATCCACTGCAATGTCCAAACATTTAATGCAATGAGCCGTCTTTGAAAGAGTTCCCTGTAGCAGGCGGCTGCAAGATTTCTCTGTTTGGGGGTGGGGTATAAGTATTGATGACCATGCCGTAGTATTCGCAGAACAAAATTATCCCGAAATCACTAGCAAATAAGTGTTCTTGTTCTTGTACATAATAATGGCCCACGTTCAATGTATCGATCATTCTGGCTCCTATGTATGTAGAGATATTTGAAAAGTTTATGTTCCTGTTATTGAAGATGATATTTCACTAAGGGCTTCTCAGCGAGGGTATCATGAACTCGGAGATGTAAGGCCTGAGGCAATAGACCCAAATGTGTCTAGTGTTTTTGCCTCTACTTTTCCTTTTGGAGGCCTGTTCCAGTCCTTGATTGTATTTGGCAGGAATCAGCATTGTAACTCGTTAGTTTCTTTGACTTTAATAATGGAATAAGATTGAGTAGCCCGTCTTAAGTCCCATATCGTATAGGAATTATATCACTTTTGTCAAGAAAAGCATCAGTCAGCTTTCTGAGAATACAATGCTAAAATTATTGTTGGCTAAGGCTCTGCCTTGTTTTATGCCATTAGTTACTGGAAAAGTCTCGGACTCACCTCTAGCTTCCAGTACCCTTGGCACCATGCCATCATGGATGTGTCGTACTATTGAGATACATTAACTGTGTGGCAAGAAAATGTTCTGCATATACAAGTCCTAAAACAAGCTGACCTTATCAGCAACTACACGTTCTGAACAAAGAGGAAGAGTCCGATGTGCTCGATATATTGCGACAATGTTTGACAACGAGCTGATACAAAATTAATGTATGATGAACCATCCAACACGGACGGCTTTGCTGGAGGGCAGAAAAACGTATCAAAGATTGCTTAAAATTGTCTCTCAAATCCACGGACATCCACATGAACTCGTGGATACCACTTATCTGGGATCTCTCAAGATTACTAGCTGACTCACTGTAGGTTTATTCCCTTCAGCAAGTAAAGCCATAATATGATAATGGCGAGAGACTGCAATCATTTACTAAAATCAGTACAGCCCTCATGATCCCTTAGAAAAACTGACGTGTCCTGCATGCGGAGAAATCTCCTGTAACATGTATGACTCGCAAGCCACCATCGATTATTTCAATGGCCAGTTTTGCATTTGAAGGACAAAGAACTATATTTAGACTTACCTCCGCTGACGTATACCGAACAGAGAGGCGCTTGACTCGTCATCTTGATAATGATGGTCTTAATTGTCGAGTGCAAATCACAATGAATATCAAGTACTCCATTTTTAACTATACTGACATTCATTTTGTCACACTTTATTGAAGGTGAGTACCAGGTCTTGTAGAATTCAATACTAACTTGATCTTGCTCAACTGTAGAAGATTAAATAAATTGACCTTTGACATTAATGGAAGTTATAATAGAAATGCAAGCAATTTATTATTGATGTGTTGGTATACGTATGCACTTATGGGGAAGATATACAAAGACGAAATACCATATCTGTAAAAAAAACCAAAAAAACTTCTTCTTCAAAAAAAAAAAAAATCCTTCTAGTCACTAATCACAGATCACAAGAGTGTGTTAGTTTATCGCATACTCAAAAAAAAAATAATATTAATTTCGCTTTTGTTCAATTATTTATGGCACAAATCTTCAGACGGCTAACTGACCCACTTCCCGTCCAACAATCAAGCTGACACGGGGCACATAGTCTCGTTTGCCGATGACAACACATTTTATCAGATATTTAACCACATCAACCCCAAACTACAAAACTAAGTGTTTCCTGTTTTTCAAAGGGAAGCTTAAGGAAATAATATGACACTGATTTCACGAAATAAAATTCCAGATAACTGCTCTAGAGTGAATTTTTTTTTTAAAATATCGCCAAGGCGTTTGGTGTGTAATATTTTCTTTTGGATAGAAGCGGATAGGTTGTTAGAATATATATATAGTTCTGGGGCATTATAAAAAATGTGCGGTTGTGAGCCTGGGAGGGGGGGGGTTTGGAGCACTCATTGAGATCCTTATAAAGTGCGTTACTTGAAGGCATGTTGCGTCAAATGTTCAGCCCCCCCCCCCAACCACCTCCATTGCTCGCTCTTACATTTTATAAATGATTGTTACGAAACGCTTTGTTTTTTTTGTGTTTTTTTAAAAATTCAATTATTCATTTTTTGAGAGTTGCAATTAATTTTCTTTGAGACTTTCTCATATTCAAAGATAAATCTAAATATTATGTTGCATTTTGAGGAATTAATCATTTATATGACTTTATTCTTAACAAACACCTGTTAATAAATAACGCAGATAGGTCTACGAGGATGGTCGGTCAGTACAGTTTTAGATTTCATTAACATATACAGGATGTGATCTTGACAACTATAGCTTTCATTTCCGCTTAAAGAATAGTAACATTTTCAAGAAGAAGAAACAGTAAAAATGGACAATATAGACCGGCCAGAAACGACCGGGGAGCACTCTGAGAAGTAGTTTATGTACACGTGAGCTCTCTATATTCAAATCCAGCTCATATGGTAAAACCTGCCAGGCAAATAGGAGAACAATGACGACACAATACGTGTTCAACCGTCTAAACAACCGAGGGTAATAGAGGGTGGGTCGCGTGTTGGTCACGAGACGGTCCCCCGGTGTAACGGAGCCGGAAGCTATACCCCCCACCAGACAGACATGTGCTATTTTTAATTTCAGTTGGTGTGTACCGTGTTCGCGTTATAGTATAGAATGGGGTTTACCCGAGCTATCACTGTGACACTCACAGCGTATTTTAAATTATCTCTATAATTATTACATGACACCTTGTCACATAAAGAAAATATTTTTTTTTTCATTTACTTCTTAAGCAACTGCATGGAAGCCATGATTCTATACACCAGTATGTTAAACTTTTTTATCAGGAAGATTTGAAGGTGATCAGGGGTGAAAGGGAAAGTGAATATTGACTTTTCAAACAACTTTTATAACCTGAATTTATGTTATATTAAGAATCAATGTCGACTTACCGTGACGTTCAAATTGCAGCCTCATCCAGGTAAAGGCTATTTCTGTTTTCAAATATATTGTACCTTCTGTTACTCTAATGCATGATGCGTCGTCTCCATCGAATAATTGTTGGAAACTATTTCCAAGGGTTGGCCCAATATCTTCTGAAAACAGAACTTAATGATATTTTCTTTTACGTTCTTGTAACTATACAGAACTGTCGTAAATAGTCATTTAACTTGACTGGTCGTCTATGATCTAGGGAACTTTGTGTTATGGTACTTCAATTAAAAATACATTCTCTTTCTCAAGCGCCCCTAACTTTAACTGAAAAAAAACCACCCCATTATACTTTGAACACTTCATCTCCCACATATAATTTTCACGACAGTTGTAGTATGATTTGATTATTACTTGGTTTTAGAAAAATGCATTTTTAACAAAGTAAAAGACGCACGCAAAAAAACAAAAACCTCCCCCCTTCCCCTAAAACACATGACGGGTAGGGCGATCTCCTTGACTGACACCATCTGGGAATGCTCTAGTGTATCTTTTAAAATAGTTGACACCTTACTGAAACATCTTTAAGGTAAAAATTGTACAAGAGACATCGTGAAATAATTAATTATCAGGATAAAATTGTAAAAATATTTGCATAAGGTCAAGGGAATTAAGTTTTTTTTTTTCCTAAACAAAATAACTTGGAGTCTTATTTGAACTGTTGCACACAATTGCCTTGTTTAGAATGCCGAGTGCAATGTTTTGCACAAGGTCTTTCATTATTATTATTTTTTTTTAATTTTAGGGGTAATTTATAATATTAAATATAATTTCACAATTTACATCACCCAGAAGTCAACTGCTTTTTGTCCTGCCACACCAGGAGCACTTTTATGTTTAAATTTAGACATATGAACACATAGCATGACGTTTAATTTTACTATTTCTTTATCCGCATGCGCGTCATATATGGTTCAATCATGCACATACATTCGGATAGAACAAACGATTCACTCACCGTACTGACACTGAGGACCGAACCATCCCCTGGCACAGCCCAGCGAACAAGTTCCGTCAAGTCTACATATGTTTTCTTTACAGTGGCATTGGTATTTGCACCCAGGGCCAAACCAGCCAGCGCAACCTGTTGGAGTGAATATTAGATCTGACACAATACATACCAACGAATGTTATTACTCTTTGTAGAATGTATGTCTTACTAAATTGCTCACTTAAAAATTCAAACAGATAATGTATCTCATATAGATTCAGATTAAGCTTTAAATTTATATAAATGAATACACTGTCGCAATTTATTCTGAATATGTTGATCACACCAGAAAAGCGTGCTCGTTTTATTTTGATGACTTTTTTAACTTTCGTAAGTTTGGTTATTAGTCTAATACAGAATACGTGTGGTCTAATAGTATTATTTGTAGTGACGAATATGAAAGATAATATATGAGGGACTGGGTTCAAGCCACGTGAAGTCAATAAATAATAGAACAAGATATGTTTAGGCTTGAGAAGAAAGGAAAACAATTATACGGACGTTTCGGCGCGATGCCTTCTTCAGCAGACAATAGAAAACAAGAACAAAATATACTTTAAAAATGTAAAAAATAGTAATAAAAAAAAAGTAAGCATTCGAAAATATAAAAAAAAATATTAATGTAGCTCAATGTTCAGAATAGTCAGCGCCCTCTATGTTGTTGTTGGAAACGGGAGTTAAGTAGTTCAAAAACCAAAACGTTCGTCCTACACTATTCTGTGACGCATACCATCAAGGTAATTTCAGTTTATGGAAGTACAATTATAAACATAAAAAATTGAGCATAGAAATGAAGTTATTAGAGTCATGAGGGGCACATCTGATGTGTCCCTTTGTTAATGTCTGTTGAAATGTGATAAGACCGAGATTTGTATTGTTCAACATCCCAAGGTGTTCACTGAACTTATCAGATATAATTCTTCCTACCTCACCTATATTACAATAGCGACTAAACCTAGACTGGAAAATATGTTTTCTTTCTGACTGCTCTATCGGGGTAAATATAACCAATAACTGATGATGAAAATAACAATTTGAGATCTGATACCCATGTCAAATGTCTCACAATGTTAAGTTTTACACTTATAACGTTTACTTTTTGTAAAAAGGGGGTTATTGCTATATCATTATTAAATTAGTTATTTTATATTTACTATATGCCAGGTTGTGGTGGTCAGGATTATTTTTTTGTTCTGTGTCAGTTTTAGCTGTAGGGGACACCACCCCTAGACAACTTGCCACCACAGAAAAAACAAAAGTAGACATGCATTTTTTTCTTCCTTGAAAAAAAATTGAAATGAAAAGTACAACTAATATACATACATACATACATATTTACAGATCCTAACATGGGAGAGGAGTTCGAAATTAGGAAATTCTAAAAGGCTACAACTGCTTGACAACTTAACCTCTCAAGTTTATTAGCAGGTGAAATCTGTCTAAGGAAAGAGCATTACACATTACAAAGACACATTTTTGGGGGGAAACAACTCAAAAGCTAATAAATTATAAATTTAAAAAAAAGACCTGAGTTGAGTTATAAAACAATATCTGATAGTTAGCGATAGGGCTTTAAGGGCACACACACAAATAAATGTAACAACGCGATTCGTCATTCGATTAACTTAAAATTGGTCATAAATATTAGTTTATCTAAATATGTAAAAAAAAAAAACACAAAAAAATACGTTACATTGTAAAATAGTTTAAGTAACCCTGAGACTTAATCAAGCAGGATGCTAAAAATTCAACTATTTGGATTATTGAAAATTCAAAAAAATAAAAAAAAAAACCCAAAGAAATGAAGGTTTTAAAAAATACATGTAAAAAATTGACCTTCTTACCTTTCTGAGCTAAACCACCGGTGTAAGCTGACCAACAGGACAAAATAATGATCAGGTGAATCAACGACATTTTTTTTTCCAAAGAGAATTATGTCACAGGAAATCATTAAACTTCGCCTGAAATAAGGACAACATTTCTTGTATATATTTACACATATTATACCTTTTTTCATTGTCAGTTATCAGTGCAAAGTTTTGTTACATATTATTTTAGAGTGTTACATTAAAAAAAAAAAGTATTCATAAAATAACTTACTTTCCCGGGAAAAAATAATTTAAAAAAGTATTAAGTGCACGCCAAGATACATGACCAGGAAGATAATTGTTGAAATCAATAGGCCAAAACGCTTATGGCCATACTAGTGCAGATTCTTAATTTGTTAAATATATGTATATGTATATATATATATATATAACCATTTATTGATGGATGAAAGATAATTTAAACTAAAAAAGTTAACTTAGTTAAAATAAAAAGGTTTTTGCTTTCCGACATGGAACACAACAAAAGAGGAGAGAAAACACATTTAGTTAATCTAGAAGCCAATGTTTAGTCCATTATTTTGAAACTGTTTGATTCATTTGCATACCACGAAACATCCTGAAATGTAATCCACATATTTTTTTTATGTAACTATTTATAAGAGTGTTGAACTGCGGTAACGCTGTCAAGTAGATTAATGAGACGCAAAACATTGTGTTAATAAAACAATATAGGTTCAGCTTTTATAAGGATTATACAGAGTACAGATGTTTCAGCAATTGCCTTCATCAGTACAAAAAAACCCCACAAAAATAAATCAAACTTTCATGTAAGTATAAATTAATTTATATGTATGTAAATATATATATATATAAATATAAATTACATCTATCTACCCAGAAATGAAAATAAAACATTACAATTTTAACATCTATTTATGACTACACCCAGTAGATGACTAGCCGTCGCATTGTTGATGACAGCAGCAAGACAATCAGATCATGTAACTGTATTAAACGTAAAAACCACTTACAGTTCAAGTGTGTACCGTGCGTTGTGACCAGGAAGATAGTTGCTGAAATCAAGTGCCCGAAAAGCTGTTTGGCAAATCGTATGTGGAAGAGAGCGATAAAAGTAGTAAACTTTGAAAACAAACTTTTGTAGAGATGGTCAGAGCGGTCGATCTGGATGCAGAGTGTGAGCTTTCTTTGAGAACCAGTGTTTTAACATGATACTTGTATTCAGGACGGGAGCTTACTTTGAGAACCAGTGTTTAACATGATACTTATATTGAGGGCGGGGGCTTACTTTGAGAACCAGTGTTTTAACATGATACTTGTATTCAGGGCGGGAGCTTACTTTGAGAACCAGTGTTTTAACATGATACTTGTATTCAGGGCGGGAGCTTACTTTGAGAACCAGTGTTTTAACATGATACTTGTATTCAGGGCGGGAGCTATCTTTGAGAACCAGTGTTTTAACATGATACTTGTATTTAGGGCGGGGGCTTACTTTGAGAACCAGTGTTTTAACATGATACTTGTATTCAGGGCCTTCGTAATATTGCGCTTCCTTGCAAAATACAACCATGTCTTCACCCTATCATAATTTATAAACTTATATTTAGTAAATGAATGGGCCCGCGAGAGTACCCACTGCCTTCTTACCTTATAGAGGCACAACTAAACTACATTATGATATACGTTTTACAAATATTGGTTTGATTAAATTAATTATTTTTTAAAACGTTGATAAAAAATAACAGTAATTAAGCTGGATATCTCTGTTTGAAATATGAGCTAGTGACTGGTTAAAAAAATAAATTATTTGCTTAGAATAGAACACATAGATATTTATATAATAATCTCAAACTAGATCCCAAAATGAAATCACAAAATTACAGACAACATGGTTCTATTAATAAAGTAGCCTGACTGACTCTTCTGGTCTTTAGCAATACAAAAACATAATTCTTTTCATGTCCTATCAGTTGAGATCATTAGCATTTGCGCTGCCAGTGCAAAGTATTTCTCATATTAGAGTATTTTAAGCCAATATAACAAGTATGTTTCATTTACTTAATATCTTCGCAGAAATAAGCATCGGTTACAAGCTAGCAGTCAAAACATCTTAACAAAAAGTTTTCAGATACTGGTGTAAATGTCTTTCAGACAATAGTCGGCAATATTCCGCCATATTTACCAGCCTGCTTCCCTGACTGATATAAAGTCAAATAAAAACTCTTCAAGTCAATAAAGTCATTAAGAAAATAAGGTTTTATGATATATGATAACTGATTTTTCCGCTTCAGAAATACTTTAAAGATCCTACTTTTAAATTGTTACAGTTTAAAAACTTGTTATGCTCATCAGAATACTTCTCCATATGCTGTGACATAATGTATGCCACCATAAGGACGTGGCCCATACTTACAGTCAAGGACCAAGTCAAATTTGTTCTATAAAGACACATACAAGGCCAGTCCTCTCTGTGTATATAACTCCTAAACAACCATTTGTTTTGAAAAAAATGTGTATAGTGTAACGGACAATGTTTTCACATGAAAACAGAGAGGTAGCATGAGTGAACAGTGAATGGTGTTGACCATGTTTTGTCCACGAGGACAATGGATTGTATTTTTGAGATGCAAATGTGAGCTCCACGTTTTTGGAGAATAAAATTATGTTTTTGTCAGAGCGGTTGTTTTCCACGCTTTGCTGGTAATAAAGTATGAGTTGACTGAGACAAGGAGAGCTGAGCGCAAGGAGAGTCAGAGTTAGTCGGAGTTGAGTTAGAGTTGAGATGTAAGACAGTTGAGCTGAGTTATAGTAGTGTGAGGACGTGTCTTTCTTAATGATGGAATACTATAGATATATATGTGAAATTACATTCATGCAAGGATTATTTATTAATATTATCAGTATAAAGTGTGTTCAATAAAGTACTGTAAGTTTAACCAGGATTCAGTATTCTTATTTGCGTGCCTGAAGTGGAAGAATGAAGAAGTCTTAGTCGGCATTCTGAATTACTAACTTAAAACAAGTAACCGTGCTACTGACATAACCCACAGCCTAAGAAATAAGTTACAATGATAATGATGTCAGAGCATAGATGTGTTACATATAGGTTAATTATTTTTTTAATCTTATAAATTAGATAGTGACTGGTTAAAAAAAGTTATTGGCTATTGTCAAACGCATTTTTAAACTAGTTTGGTTAATTCATCAAGTTCTTTCACACTTTGTAATACATCGTGCTACC